ACCCTGAACTGAAGTTCCCTGCAGACAGCTCAGAGCTGCTTCTCACAGTGGAAGGCAAGCCTGAGACCAGAGAGCCCTGGGCAGCCTTTCCTGCCAGGAGCTACAGGAAGACCTAACTGTGTATACTCTCATTTCCCCCTAAGAAGTCCAGTGGGATTTTCAACCTCTCCCTAGACAGGAGGAGAATCAGATCCTAGAAACCCAGTTTATTTTTTTATATATAATTTTATCGTCATCATTATTATTATTATTGTTTTGCCAGTCCTAGAGCTTGAATTCTGGGCCTGGGTACTATCTGAGCTCCTTTTGTTCAAGCACTCTACCACTTGAGCCACAGTGTCACTCCCGGCTTTTTCTGTGATTAATTAGAGATAAGTCCAGGCTGGCCTTTAACCATGATCTTCAGATCTCGGCCTCCTGAGTAGCTAGGATTATAGGCATGAGCCATCAGCGTTAAGGTATTGTACAGAAGGGCTGCTGGCTCATAAGTAAGTTAGGTAATAAATACATTTCTTTTTAGTCAATGTCAACTCTTCCATTTTTCACATAAAACCCAGGTTCTTTTTTTTTTTTTTTTTTTTTTTTGTCCGTCATGGGGCTTGAACTCTGGGCCTGGGCAATGTCCCTCAGCTCTTCAGCTAAAGACTAGCACTCTACCACTTGAGCCATAGCACCACTTCCAGTTTTCTGGTGGTTTATTGGAGATAAGAGTCTCTCAGACTTTCCTGCCCTGGCTGGATTTGAACCATGATCCTCAGAGCTCACTCTCCTCAGTAGCAAGGATTACAGGCATGAGCCACCAGCACCCAGCTGAAACCCAGATTCTTAAAATTCCATATCTGACATAAAGAAGCTGAGAAAGAATGCAAATCTTCAAAGGTGTTCTTCAGTACTGTAATTTTAGAAGCAACCAGCTGTCCAACAGAGCTCTTAGCAGGAACTGTAGCATACACCTACCTGTTGGAGTAAAATGTATCCACTGAAAGAGACCAGCAGCAGAGGCAGCTTGAGTAAAGTGCTCACCTAAGAAAATTAAGCTCAGCTCAACCATGTGAAAATGTAAGGCTGGTGAGAAAAGCGGTCATGGGCACCACTGTGCTAGCTGCATAACTGGGATGGAGGAGGTGGGATGAGATGGGTTTGTTTTCTGAATTTCTAGTAATTTTATGTTTTCGTAAGTATTTTAACAGAAACTTTTCATTTATTTTTTGGTGTTCTTGGCAAGCCCTGGATATTTGGGCAGAGGTAGGTTTTCATGCCCATCTGAAGGCCCACCTCTGATCATTGGTGCTAGCCTTTGCAGGCACCAGCAGACAGGTAGAAGGACACTCCTTCCCAGAGCACTGCCCTTCATAGGCGTCTGAGTTGTTGGCCCATCTTGGACCACAGCAGCCTTTCCAAGACAGGTACTCTTTCCTTTGGCCCAAAGAACCTGCTTTAACTGTATATCCTCTTATTTTAGTTAAACTACAGCAAAAATTATGGCACAAAAGCTCAAACATCTCCACTTGTGACATTTGTGCTGCTAATTAGTTTCTGTTCAGTGTTATATTCCATCTTCTCTGGTTTACTTTGAAAAAAAATACATAAATGTAAACACATTTTTATACATCCAGATTTCCATTCCAATAGTCACAGCAGGTGCACGGTTTCATCTGCTTGTCTTGCCTGAGCGTGTGACCTGAGCCTGGCTGCCATGCTTCCTTCCCATATGCTGCTTCTGCAGCTCTGCAGACTCAAATCTGCTCTGAGGAGGCCCCGTTAAAAGCAAACCTCCAAATACCAGGTGTCCATTGCAGACCTCAATGAAGGTCTGCCCTCCGCAGGGAGTGTGTGAGGAAGAATCACTTGCCTGTGTGTGCTACAGCAATAAGATGTGACTGACAGCCGCTGTCTCCTTTATACTGGGCAAGCCTAGGCTACTGCAGGAACAGCCCCATCAGATCCCCTCACTGGAGCTCACCCACACCGAACCCTAGGCCTCATGCATTTGCCTTCAGTATCTCAGAATTTCTCCTAGCCTTAATTTCCAAATGGAATTTAACAGTACAGAATTAGAGTTAACTTGAATATTCAGCTTTGATATATAATTTTTTCTCAGCATATGTTTTTATAGAGATAATATGCTTAGCCCTTTCCTTTGAAAACTGCTGGTATTCTTTGCATTTTCAGTACATCTTTTTTTTTTTTTTTTTTTTTTTGGTCGGTCGTGGGGCTTGAACTCTGGGCCTGGGCGCTGTCCCTCAGCTCTTCAGCTCAAGGCGAGCGCTCTACCACTTGAGCTACAGTGCCACTTCCATTCTTTGCATTTTCAAAGATAAACTGCCCACTTGCTTCCCTGTAATGCCCCAAGACAGATGCCCTGTGGGCTACACCTGAGGATGTCATTTGACCCTCTTCCTCCCTTTCCCAGGTGAGGCTGCTAGGGGAGGTGGCAACAGACTTTCCTTGTTTTGCTCGGTGTTCAAATGCCAGAGAGTCATTTTCCCAGGCACCTCTGTGAGAATTTACCATGCAGCATAAATTACTCGTGTTTATTGGCAGATTCATTTCCAGCAGGAGGTCAATTAACTTGTTACACTGGAATATATAGGCTTTGAACTAGAAGAGGTTATACAAGTGTAAGTTCCGATTATTAGCTGTCATTCTATTGTCAAAGTCCCCTGGTTCTGCCAACATTCCCCTCTCTGTTTCTCAAGTCAGCTCCTGTTTCAGCGTCCTTTCTATAACCATCCATAGCACCTACCTGACTGGCTGTGGCCACCGGTTCCCAGCCTGCTGGCTCTGGGGACCAAGAGGTGCTCCCTGAGATACAGTTTGCCCATTTATTTCACTATCCTGCTTCAAACCCTCAGTGCCCATATCTGGCAAATGTAAGCATTCCCAGTCTTTGGTGCCCTCCTGAGACTTCCTGCCCACTGTTCAGGGTCCTGGTCTGCTCAGGACTCCTGCAGAGCCACATTGCCAGTGCTGTGGGCTGTAGTCTAGTGCTAGGGTTTTCCCTTCACCCCTTTCCCACCTAACAGCTGTCCTCCACCAAGAAACTGACCCAGAGCCCTGCTCCAGACCAGGCCAGCATCCCCCCTCCAAGTTGCCACTGTGCCCCCTGTGCCTCCCTCCCTCTTAACACTTGTCATGCCTGACCCCTGCCTCTGTGTTCATTACTGTCCCTGGCAGAGCCTAGACTGAGTGCAGAATGAGGAGGCTGAGGGAAGAAGGAGTCATGCCTGTGCCTATGGTCCAGCATGGTAAAATCATGCCTTCCATAGCTTGGACCAGGCTCTGCTGCCTTAGCTCTTTACTAACAGAATTATCACAGTGTAAGACCTTCCAGACAGGGCCCTCTCTGCCCCCCTCCCTCTGTGTGGAGTGATGCACAAGCTGCAGAGGACCAGCTCTTCTTCATCCCCCAGCTTCACCCTCCACCACCCAGGCAGTAGAACACCGATGGGAAGGGACTTTCGGAAGACCTCACATAGGATGATTTCGTTCTTGTTTGATCACATGACTCTTGTACACATGAGCCATATACCTCCCTCCTCCCAGGGGCAGTTTTGATGCACTAGGCATGTGCACGCCACGTGCCACACATGCATGTATACTGTGACCACAGGACGTGATGGTGCCTCTGCTCTTCAGGCAAGCCCTGCTCCCATATCTTGACGGTTTGCTTTGTCGTGGCCAGCAGGAACAGGTGGTGCAGACTATGCGTGAGATGGCTTACCAGAGTGGCCAGTGAACCCCGAAGCTTCAGGTCTGCAGGCCTCCCTAAGACCTTCTGGTCTTCTAGCCCCAGGCCCTGGTGTCTGTGTCTGTCATGGCCATGTGTCAGCACTGAGACCTTCTGGGGGTGTCTCTCTTTGTCCTTCACAGCTCTGTGTCCTCCATCGATGGCTCCGCTTGGTCACAGCCTGACCAACACATGTGTCTGTACTGTCCTTCCGAAAGGTGACATCACCACCGTCGCCCCAGGGCTCTGCCCTCCAGGAGCTACTTCCTGAACAGAAACAGTAACCATCATTAGCCTCCAGTCAAGGATTCTAACATTTTAATCCCACAATTTAAAATCAGCTAAATTTGTCAAGTGACTGAAAGTGAAGTTTTCCAGAAATGATTAGCTCATTTTTTTTCAATGGAGGATTTATAGTTACAATTAGTATATTGTAATGGTGTTTCCAGGATAAAGTATCAGCAGCTCAACTTTTCTGCCCACAATTGTATAACATATATCAGTTTATTTGGGGAGATCTGAAAAATTAGCTACTGCAAATAAAGTCCCAAGAAGATTTCTCCGGGAAAGAGGTGAACTTACCGTAATGAGGGTAATATGTTATAAATTAATAACGGTGACCAGCCACTGCTTCAATTAAAAGGACACAGGTGAGGAGGCCTAATAGGAAGGGAGTGTGGACCTTGAGTCTCGGAGCCCGAGGTCTGTTGGAGCCATGGGGAGGGTGGCTTCGGGCAGGATGCAGGAGGCCTCCAGCATGAGTGCCAAGTGCTCCTGGGTCAAAGCAGGCTCACTGAGCGCCAGCATGGCTCTCGTGAGCGGTGCTCCTTTGATTGCCCATCATGGAATCCAGCTTTAGAAGTGCTTAAAGCGAAGAAGGAACTTCTTGGGGGGCCACCAGTTTTCCCAGGTCCCAAGGAAAATCTCCACTCCAGTTGTCTGGTGTTTAATTGAAGATGAGTCTCACGGACTTTCCTGCCCAGGCTGACTTTGAACTGCAATCCTCAGATCTCAGCTTCCTGAGTAGCTAGAATTATAGGCATGAGCCTCCAGTGCCTGACTCTTCTTTCCTCTTTTTTACTGTCCATAGTAAAAAGCAAAACAAAAGAAAAACCCACAGTCCAGGGGAGAACAGTCGCTGCCCAGCCTCCACTTGAGTTGGGATAACAAAGGAAGGTCATCTGGACAACCCCCCAGCCCTATAACTCATCTCCTCATCTCTCTCTCTCTCTCTCTCTCTCTCTCTCTCTCTCTCTCTCTCTCTCTGCAGGTCACGCAATATTTAAACTCACATATCTAAGCAATCATGACTATAAACACCTCTACTTTGAATCGGATGCTGCTACCGTCAATGAAATTGTACTCAAGGTGAGTGTCCCCTTACAGCCCTGGGGGGGGGCTAGTGGGTGGGTATAGCTCCTATCCTGGCATAGCAGAGGGTGGACCATGCTCTTCCTCACCCAGGCACAGGCCCCCACCAGCCTGGGGCAGTGGCTGCCCTTGCCTCAGCCCCACAACGAGGCCCATTTTTCCTGTATTTGTTCCTTTCATGTACCATGTTTCTCACCACCACCCTGTCAGGAGCCTCTGGAGGAAATGATGATTGTTTCCAAGACTCCTTCATTGTGCTAAGATGATTTTCCCAGCCTGCTCAAAACATCCCCAGCTCATTCTAGATGTCATCAAACCGTCCTCATCAGGCATCTTTGCGTGCCAATCCAGCGTTCAGAAAACCACAGTGACAGGCCAGCGCCTGTTCCCAGAGCTCTAATTGTGCCAGGGGAGCCAGGATAAGACAGAGAGGAAATTACACAGAGCCACAAAGGGTCCCAGAAGTGTCCTGTGGGTATGTAGAAGGTAAAGCAGCATGATGTGGGAGGTGGCAGGGAAACTGAACCTGAACGACTGAAAAATGCAGATTTGTAGGAGGGGCTGAAACGGGGTCTCATGGGAGGTTGGAAGGTCCCTGCCATGACTGAGCTGCCTTCTTGGTGTGAGGTTTGCTGGGGGGGGGGGGTCCAAGAATGGGTCAGAAGTTGCAGGGCAGACCCAGGGAGGGCTGTATGTCCCTAAGAAGCACCAGGTCTTACCCAAGCTACCGCTCTGTGTGCCACATTCTGAGTAGGCCAGATGCTTCCAAACTGAGAGGCCTCAGGCAAGTGCCCTTGGCTGAGGAGGAGCTAGAGCCAGAGAGCATTTCCCTGCCTGTACCTAGTGGATCCTGGTACCTATGCTTCCCTACCCCACCCCACCATCAGTGGAGATGTGCTAACCCTTCCCAGTTTTCCTCTTCCTAAGAGTCAATCTATCAAGGGATAATAATAGGAGCAGTTAGGCCTCCCTGAGCGCACCCAGCCTGGGCATAAGTGTGTTACATCTAGTCACATTGAATCGCCCAGCTCTGAGAATGGGTAAAAGTTCCCATTTCCTAGATGAAAATAAGTAATTTAGCCAAGACTAGAACTTGACCCAAGGTCTGGTAGGTTGCAGAAATGGCTCTCCCAGTCCCCCAAATGTACATAGCCTTCCATGACTAGAAGGGCAATTTCAACAACAGAATGGCCTCATAGAAACATGATGAGACCAGGATCCCGGCGCTGCAGGATGTCTGCAGCAGTGTTAGAAGGAGTGAAAGGACAAGCTACAGGGGGAGGCTCGCTGGCATGTCAGCTGGATGGAAGGGGGGCACATAGACCACCTTGCCAGAGCCCCCCTCACACCTCAGGCCAAGCCCAGTGGCCACTCGGAGTGCTGACCACCAGCTAGCGTACAAAGCCCAGGAAACTGTGCCAGGTGTTTGGGGAATAGATAAAGAAATATTCCAGCACCCCGTCATGGGACTGGACTTATTTTTATAGCCAGCATTAAAATATTCAAGACTTGAGAAGGATTCTAGTAAAATTATAATCCTGTGTTTGACATCCAAATAATTTTCACAACAGCAGATTGATGACAGAAACACAGGTTTATGACTTCAATATGAGACTGTGGAAGATCAAGTGCAAAGAAATCATTTTACGGGACCAAATGCTCCCTCAAAGCAGATGCTTTCCTGCAAACTCCCTGAGGCCTGTCGCCTCTCCTGAAATGTCTGTTTTCATCTCAAAACATTCGCAGAATTATCGCCTGGTGCAAGAGACAGGGTGCAGTGGGCCCAGGCCTGATTGACTCCACACTAATGATCACAGGCCTGATGGAAGATTAGACTTCACTCCCCTCCACCTCTTTTGACTGAAATTTAAATACTTAGCTTTAGCCACCATTCCCAGAGTGTTGGGTCAGTGTCTGAGCCCTGTGCCAATGCCAAGTGACAGGTCCCAGCCCCGGGGCCAGCAGTTTAGCAGGAGGGTTTTTGCCATCAGAGGCTCTTCAGGGTTAGCCTCAGACTTCTAAAGCTAAAATTAAAGGAATAAGTAAAGAGCCAGAAGCTAGTGTTGGCACTATTGCCAACTGACAGCCTTCCTTCAAGTGATTTTGCACCTCATCTTTTCCTCTTATAGAAAGACATGCACCTCCTCGTTTTTTATATGTTGTCTCACCTGATCTTCCCTGTCCTGCAGAATGTGGATAGTACTGTCCCCATTTCATAGATGAGGAGATGGAGGCCTAGAGCCAGAGAACAACACAGAAGAGAGGAGCCTCCTCTTGAACTTGGCCCTGCAGAGGGGCAGAGCTGCCCGCTTGCCACTGAGGCATAACTGAGCTGAGCCACATGTGGTCCCCAGTCCCACGGCCTTCGAGATGAATCTCTGAGGAATCATTGGACTCTTCACGTCGGGTTCTTCTTGTGATCGAGTGATGGAGGCTGTGGCTTTATTGACCATGAAAACTCCCTATATTTTTATGCCTTAAGCTGTAAAATGCATTGAAAGTGAGACACTCTGTAGTGCATAAAATTGTGCAAGTTTTAAGCCACAGCATATTAACCAGCTAATGGCAGACCAAAGGGCGTTTTTATCTTTTGATTATTACATTAATCTTCCATTAAAATTATCTATGTGATTATCACAAAGCACTGAAGATAATAAATTTAGGAAATAGTTGGCTTGTTAAGGATCATTTTAAAATGCTTTTGTCAAATTATATGTGCCAAAAATACACTGAAAACACTAGGTCGGCTGCGTGTGCAAACAATATAATCCAAAGATTGCTTTTATTAAGAATGATAAAACCTCCTGCTTCCATACATTGTCTGCAGCGTCCCAGATCGTCCACTCAGCCGCGAGGTCCGTATGATTTATTGCTCTCAGCTGGTAACTTGGCGAGGCAGTGGCCGAGCATGTCAGGCCTTCTGTACCCACATGCCAGCCTGTACCGCCTGCTACCGGGTGATCTGAGCAGAGGGTTGGGAGGGACCGTGTGCCCCTCCAGAGCCCCTCCATTGCCTTGGGTCCTCAGGAGCCTTCACCCCTCCCTCCAGGCCTAGGACTCATAGTCCTGAGTACTGGCAGCAATAGAGGAAGCTTCGTGCTCTAGCCCATAGGTTCACATTGCTACCTATAACTTCTGGAGACTAAAGTGATGAGCAGTGGTGTTGGTTCCCTCCAGAGCCCAGCTAGGGGGCAGTGAGGGGTGGCAGGAAGTGGTGTGTGAATGGCGCTGCAGTGAGGGAACTGCAGGTGTTGCCTAGAGAAAAATCTCTGCCTCCCCTGGGTGTATCTGTCAACAGCTGCCTGCAGCCAGGCTGGGCCCACTTCACATGGCTATGACCCTGTCTTCCGGGTGACCTTGGCCAATTGGGCCCTCTGCTCTGAGCCTCACTCCCCTTTGTCAAATGGGCCCTGGCTGGTTGACTGCAGCAGGGAGGCCAGACCTGAGAGGACTTCCCCATAGTCTTCTTTCTGTGATGTTGGGCTTTCAGCCAGGCGGGGAGCTTATGTCAGCCAGTGTGGCAGAGCAGGCAAAGGCAGAGCCAGGGAGCCGGTGGTGACCCACACCAAAGAGGGAATCGCAGGCCCACAGGGGTCCGAGAGTCTCTCCACAGCCACCCATCATCCAGAAGCACAGCTAGGCTCAGTCCTGTGGCCAGGATGCTCTGATGCCTGGACTCTGACAGAGAGGCCCCCCGGCCCCCAGCCCAGGCTTCCCTCTCCGCGCTGGTGAGCTGGGAGCACTGGCAAGTGACGGCCCTGTCTTCTTGCTTTCTAGGTTAACTACATCCTAGAATCACGAGCAAGCACTGCCCGGGCTGACTATTTTGCTCAAAAACAAAGAAAACTGAACAGACGTACAAGCTTCAGCTTCCAGAAGGAGAAGAAATCAGGGCAGCAATGACACTGGCCTCCAGCCGCAATCTGTCGCCTAAGCTCGGAGCCTGCCTGCCAGGGCCAGGTGGCCCTAGAACCCACCCGTGTCCTGTAGGGGCTGGGGGCAGCCAGCCAGGGCTCATGCACACGCGGCTGGTGGGCTCTCGGGGAAGCTGCGGGGGTGGGGGCATCTTAGGCTGGAGCACCTGATTGGCGGTGGCCCGGGACCAGACCATCATGAGGAAACACGCGCTGCCCAGCCATCTTCACTGCCTGACGCCCCTGCCCGAGGTTGTACATAGCCATGCCAGACACGTCCTTGCAACTTGATCAAATCTCTTAAAGCAAACGAAGAACAAAAATGTACATTTCTCTTTTTTTTTTTCCTTTTAATAAACAGGTGTGCTCTTTCTTGCGGTTGGAATGATGGGCCATTCTTTGGGGTGGAGGATTGATGATGTGATTCGCTTTCAAATCTGTTCCCATATTGAACAGGCAGATTGGAAAAGCGATGGTTCGATTTCTCAGAAGAAATGTTTAGGGCTTAGTCGATAGTTTTAACTATGCCATTTGTTTAATGAGCGTGTTTGCTTGGAGGCAAGTATCCTACCAAAAGTCAGGAATGAGGACCCAGCGTTATTCGACCAAGGCTGTGACGTTATTCTCCCTTTCCAAAGCCTTACCTCCCGGCGGCCCAGCCCCTCTCACTCCAGAGGCCTGGGGGGTTGGCGGTGGCTCCCAGCCTGAGCCACCTTTTATATTTCCTACTGGCGAGCTGACAGCTGGGCCTGTGCGCAGGTTTTCTGGACCAAGAGGAACCTGCTCCATTAGACTTGAAGGCCTCGCCCCCCCCCCCCAGCTCCTCCCCTTACAGTGCCTGCCTAAGGGAGAGGACAGAAGCTGCTTCTGGCCATGCATCAGGGAGAAGGGGAGCAGGGGGAGGCCTGCATCCCTGAGCCCCATCCCTGAGCAGGGCACGCAAGGGTAGGCCCCCTGACACCACACCTCTGGGCCACACCAGATGCCTCTGCAGACCTCGTCGGGGTCCCTTCATGGGGACATCCTTTCGTACTGTTCCTGGCCAGGGCTGCCAGTGTCTTACCGAGGACCTACATTTAATGCATTTTTTAAATCGCTGTACGGGAAGAGATGTCTGAGCAGCATCTCAAAGTCAACTGTATTTCTTCGCACAGGGGTCATTTTAATGAATTCCTCCTTCATTCTGATCTTTGCTCAGCCGGCAGGAGCTCCCTTTTCTAAGTCTTCCACTCCTATCCTCCAGAAACAAAAGAAATATTATTTGTAGCTTGCTATCTGTATTTGAATTTTTAGCAATTTTATATTTAGATATCTTTGAAAAATGTAAATGACTAATTGGGTCATTAAATCTTGTGACATATTCAATATTAAAATGATATTAAAATAAAAGTCATAAATACCCTCTTGCATGTTGCTTGGAATTCCTGAACTCTTGAGTCCCTAATGCTGAAGATCATGAGCGCACAGTGACTCCTGGGATGACACTGGCAGCTGACAGGCCTGGGCCTCTGGGCTGCACACAGACCACCTCGGGTACTGAGCAAGCTGATGGCCACTTAGCTCAGGGAGAACCTAGAGCCATGGTCCCCTCCATCTGCAGCTCCATTCAGTACAGACTTGGGTCCAGTCTAAGGAGGTTAAACTGTAGCCAGGCTCTAGTTATTCATGCCTGTAATCCCACCTACTCAAGAGGCTGAAGGCTGAGGACCATGGTGCAAAGCCAGCACAGGCAGGAAAATCCATGAGACTCTTATCTCCAATTAACCACCAGAAAACTGAAAGTGGCGCTGTGGCTCCAAGTGGTAGCTGAGCAAAAAGAGCTCAGGGATAGCACCCAGGCCCTGAGTTCAAGCCCCACATAACAGAGAAAGAGAGAGAGACTGAGAAAGGGGTATAGAAGTGGGGAGAAGAGGTTTCTTCCCTGCTGTCCACTCCCTGTGCCCCCAAGGATCCTGGCAGCAGAGACCACAGAAGCCCTCCCCTGGGGTAACCCACCCAACTCCTGGGTGCCTTTCTTTTTCTGGCAGGTGCAGGGTGGGCAGAAAGGCGAGATGGAAGAAGCAGGGACCGCTCCATACTGAGTGAGGCCAAAGGCCTGGAATCTAATCCCAGAACCCGAGTTTCCTACCCAATAGATACCTTTTCTTAGGGACATCAGTTAAGGACTTGGGGCTCCCAGAACATAGTGCTGCAGGGTATGGGCTCTGTGGCTGGGAGCAAAGCTCATCTCTTTCCTTACCCAGCCCGTGCCTCAGTGTCCTTGAGTGTTAAGCAAGATAGACAGACGTGCCAATAAGAACAGACATTCTAGGGGCTGGGAAGGTGGCTCAGTGGTAGAGCGCTTGCCTTGCATGCTTGAGGCCCTGGGTTTGATTCCTCAGCACCACATAAGCAAAAATAAAAAGCCGAAAGTGGGGCTGTGGCTCAAGTGGTAGAGCGCTAGCCTTGAGCTAAAGAGCTGAGGGACAGCGCCCAGGCCCAGAGTTCAGGCCCCACGACCGGACCCAAAAAGAACAGACATTCTTCATGACTGCAGCTGTGATGTGATGTCATTGCTTACTCCTGTGGCCTAAGTGATAGGTTTTGGTTTTTTTTTTTTTTTTTTTTGTCAGTTGTGGACCTGAACTCTGGGACTGGGTGCTGTCCCTCAGCTCTTCAGCTCACAGTTAGCACTCTACCACTTGAGCCACAGCACTACTTCTGACTTTTTCTGTTTATGTGGTGCTGAAGAATCGAACCCAGGGCCTCATGCATGCAAGGCAAGCGCTCTACCACTGAGCCACCTTCCCAGCCCATGGCCTAACCGGCATCCAGCAAGTCCCAGCACTGTCTGGTATCAAAGAAACAACATGTCTGGCCTAAAATGGCCTGGAATATACTGGGAGTTCCTTTTCATGCAAATGTCTGCCTTTTCTTTTTTGCCGGAACTGAGGTTTGAACTCAAGGCCTCACACTTGCCAAGCAGGCACTCTACCACTTGAGCCATGCCTGGCTATCCTTTTGCTCTGGTGATTTTATTTGATCAAGTCTCACCTTTTTTTGCCCAGGACCAGCCTGGATCAAGATCCATTTATGCTTCCTGCATGGCTAGGTGAGCAGGAATAGGTCACCAAGCCCATTCCATTGACTAGCTTCACCAGTGGCCACGGAGGACTGAAGAGCCCCAGGCCTCCTTCCGCATGCCCTGCGGAAGGCTGCTCCTTATCAAGGGTTTGCCATGTTCCTAAATTGATTCAGACTGATGTTCTCACGTGCAGTTCCATTCTAAACAAGCACAGCCGTGTGGCATGGATTCAGCTAGCCCCATGTATGTTTTCTAGTGAATGTTAAAACTAATTCATACTCATTCACATAAAAACATCCATCGAGCTGGCACCGGTGGCTCACACCTGTAATCCTAGCTACTCAGGAGGCTGAGATCTGAGGATCACAGTTCAAAGCCAGCCTGGGCAGGAAAGTCCGTGAGACTCTTACCTCCAATAAACTACTCAAAAAAGCCAGAAGTGGTGCTATGGCTCAAGTGGTAGGGTGCTCACCTTGAGCAAAAAGAAGCTCAGAGACAGTGCCCAGGCCCAGAGTTTAAGCCTCATGACCAGAAAAAAAAAAAACATCCATGATCCCCTAAAATCATGACCTGTGTGGTAAAAAAAAAAATCCATGATCCCCTAAAATCATGACCTGTGTGGTACCGTTACACACACAGCAGAAGACGTGGCTACATTAGCAACATTAGCTTGTGATCAACTCATCTCCATTTTACAGTTGAAGAAACTGAGGCAAACATCTTCACCGAGGGGGGGGGGAGAGGGGAGGGAGGGCATGAAGTATGGGTGCCTGTTTAGGTCCCCCCCCCCATTTGGTATCCCAGATTCTGAAGGTCCCTGAGGCTGCTTGAAGGCCACTACAGGTCAGGGGAGAGGGGTGGGAGGCATAGTGGCCATGGTGTACCCCATCAAACCCCTGCTTCAATGCCAGCAGGGCATCTATGGTCCGTGTACCTCCTCTCGGGTGTAATGTGGTTGTACTTCAAGCTCTGCGGCCTGTTCTTTAACCCAGCCTGGCTCCTCCTCCAGGAGAACTTCCACCCAGGGCAGCCCGAGTTCCCTGCCCGTCACACAAACACATGTTGAGGTCTGGGATGAAAAACTAATGCACCCACATATTCGCTTTTCTGACAAGTCACTATAGATTTTTAACTGCCAATGAGTGGCTCCCAGAGGAGCTCCACAGGCAGTGATTGGCCATTTCCTCCTGGACCTCCTTGCCTGGCTAGGACTTCTCCTGGGGCCACAAGGGCAGCAGCCCACCCCCTCACCCCCCCTACCCCCCAGCTTGTTCCTGCACTAAGCCTGCCCCTGGCCAAGGCTGCTGCCCCCTAGCTGAGGCTGCCACCACCTAGCCAGTCAGGGGCCTCCCTGAGGTGACCAGGAAACAGCAATGACCTGAAGTTGCTTAGCCCTAGCCAGGAATTCCAACCCTCTTAGCTGAATAGGAACAACCCCTGCTTTACCTTTCTGAGCCTCAGTTTCCCCATCTGAAGAATGGAGACCATGAAAAGGTCCATCTCGGTGGCGGAGTCTGCGGGAGCAGCGTTCAATCAGTGCCCCAGCTGTGAGCCCCTAGGAGCCATGCCTTCCCTTGGCCCTGGCTTCTGGCACAGATGGGCTGGCTGGTGTCCCAGCCACAGCTGGCAGGTGGAAGAATGGGGTCCCACCCCGGAGCATCTCACTCTCCTCTTGTGTTGATGTAGGGAGCAGAGGAGGCCCGGGGGACACTAGTTCTGCCTGCCTCACCCATACCCTGGGACCCAGCCTGAGTCCCCTCCTCATGGAGACCTTCAGCCAAGGAGCCTCTGCCTCAAGTCATAATAAAAAGGAGAGTCGTGGATGGGAAGAGGAGCAGGCTGAGCTCAGGGCCCAGGGAACCAGTGAAGGAGGGATAACTAGTTCAAAGCCAGCCTGGGCCAGAAAGTCTGTGAGGCTCTTCTCTCAAGCACCAAAAAAATCAGAAGCAGATGGGGCCGGAAAGTGGCTCAGTGGTAGAGTGCTTGCCTTGCATGCATGAGGCCCTGGGTTCAATTCCTTAGCACCACATAAGCAGAAAAACCCGGAAGTGGCACTGTGGCTCAAGGGGTAGAGCACTCACCTTGAGCTGAAGAACTGAGGGACAGCGCCCAAGCCCAGAGTTCAGGCCCCATGACCGAAAAAAAAAATCAGAAATGGAAGTGTGGTTCAACTGTTAAGAGTGATAGCTGAGTGAAGAAAGCCAAGCGAGAGACTGTGAAGCCCAGAGTTCAAGCCCCAATACCAGTGCTGAAAACAAAAACCAGCACCAGGACAAATGACTGCGCCGAGAGTCTACAAGAGGGTATGAAATCCTCCTCCTTGTGCTGGGAGACCCAGACCCACGACTCAACCTCTCTGAACCATTTTCCCATCTTGTACATGTAGACGCCTACCTTCTGCCTCAAGGATTAAATGAGATACTGTGCCCAGACCAGCACGTGGGGATGGACAGCAACTGTGGGGTCACAAGGCCCAGCTGTACCCTCACACTGGCCAAGCCTCTTCCCCTAGCAGGGCCATGGGGCTCAGGGGGCCCCCCAGGCCCCCCGGGGAAGCGCTGGGGTCCAGATGGGGCCTGTGTCCTCCTTCAAGGGCCCAGCCAGCCTGGCGCAGGGCTCTCCTCGCGCACTCTGACTCGTGAACACCGGAACGCTACTGTGAGGCTCATTCTTTTGAAAATGATGGGAATTTGTCTAGATGATAGCATTTCAGCCCCCGGCTTCCTGAAAGCTAAAAATATTTTAATGTCATATTTCCATGTAAATTTTAGTTTAGAATTTAATATTCTTTTAACATACATTAAATTTTTAGCATTCTTCAAGTCCTTGACTAATTCAAGGGCTTCACTGATGGGCATTAAAAAAAAAAAAAACTGTCAGGATAAGCTGTACATTGGGAGAGAAAGTTCTAGAAGCAAGGTTATTCTAAACCTCATTTTAGGGGTTATTCTTCAGGCCGGACCCTGGAATCCTGGGGAGATGGCTGGGGCCTCCCTGGCTGACTGGGGGACTCCCCCGCTACCCCTGGGTGGAGGGACCCCGGAGGGTGGAGGGGCCCAGAACTGGGCTCTGGGCCAGACTCCCTGGGGCTGGTCCTGCCACTTGACTCCAGGTGGCACCTGTCACCTGGCCCCCCCAAAATCGAACCAAAGTCAGAGTTCATGCTTTAGTAAACACGCTGGAGCGGGAGCCAGGGAGTTGTTTGGCTCTGCAGGTGGCCGTGGGGTGACTGGCTTGCTAGTGGCATGTGTGAGGCACAGCGAGGGGTCCCAGCGGGACTGAGCTAATGTCTCAGTGAATCCACCCACTTTTATTGGGGGGGGACAGAAGGATCCTGAGTCA